GCCACAGAAGGAACTCCAGCTTAGAAAGCGGCTCTCTGCCCTGTCAGGGACCAGACTGGCTCCCAGCAAAGGAGAACCCAAGTGGTGGGGTCAGCAGGAGGGCAGAGGAGGGGTGCAGTGCCTGCGTGACCCCCTCGACCACGTTTCCTGCTCAGCTGGAAACAGCTGACATTCCAGAAACGAGGGAGCCAGCGAGTTCAAAGACCTCCTGTTTAAGGAGGCCAAAGCCTGGGAACCGAAGCAGAGGCCAAAGCCTCAGCTGGCCAGGAGACAGCGGGCCGGGGTCAGCGGACGGAGTGGCGGGGGGCGGGGCAGTAAAAACCCACTCACCACCACCTGCCACTCTGTACACAATGTCCCCACTTAGGTTTGCTCGGAGCCCAGCCAGCAAACACTGCGGTCCCCTCGGGCTGCGGATCCCAGACGCTGGAGTTTCAAGGGGTCCTCGCCTCCGTCTGGTCACCTGGGCTTGCACACCACCTGGTCTCACCTCCTCTGCCTTTCCTGCTCCTCCAACCAAGCCCTCCTTCCACCTGGCCCAACACCCTAGTCTTCCCCAACCTGCCGGCTGGTGGGATCGTACAGATACACCCCTTCCCAGAAGCTTTTCTCTCCTTTAGTCCATCAACAACTCCTCCTTTTCTTCTTTTTTGGCAGAGGACACATGTCCTTGTAGAGAGAGGGGGAAAGCACCCCCCAATGGGGCCATAATCCCTTCTTCATTTCTCTCTCACTGGGCACCACACACATGCCCAGATTGTTTTCATCTGAAGCCAGGACTCAGGCCACACAGGGCTGGCCCATGGGATCTAGCTCCTTAATCAACTGTGGTGGTTATAAAGGCGCTGGACTCCCACATGACCGACCACAGTTTGAATCCTGTACCCGGTGGCTTACTTTCTCACTTTCCCCTCGCTCTGATCAAACTGGAAAACAACAACAACAATAATAAAGTTAAATAAACTAATTCTTTTTTTTTTAAAGGTATGCTTTTAAATGAGTAGCTGTATTATGGGAAAAATATGCATGGATTTCAAATTATTCTGCACCAAAATAATTTGGATTTTAATTACATTTTACCAAAATGTTTTTAAGTCCTTTCCTATGTAAAAATAAATTTTAGAAGGACTAAATATACAACCCTTTTAAAAAGCCTATTAGAAGAGAAGAGGACATTTTCATAGTCTTAGGAAGGGGATGATCTTCCTAAGAGAGAGAGAGAATGCAAAAAGAAAAAGACTGACAGATTTCACCAAATTTGAATGGTTAATGCCACTACAATACAGAAATCACAAGCAAACTTAAAAGACAAAAAACTGATGAAAAACATTTATGTTTATATAAAACAAGTGAGAAATTAATGCTAAAAATACATAAAAAGTTCCTTAAAAAAAATCAGTAAAACAAAACCAGAATGATGAACTAAGAACAAAAACAGGCAAGCATCAGAAAAATACAAATGGCCCAATATTAGAAAAGCAACGCAGGTAACCAGATAAAGGGGCGTGAAAGCAAACTACTTTTTATGTGTGTTTATCTCATGAGAAAAAGACGGACACCCCAAAGGATTTCACCATGCCATAATCCTTCCCAGCCTCCACCAACCCAGATCATGGGTGATGTGAGATTATCACATGTGTGTTCCCGTCAGTCTGGGATCCAAAACAGGGCCTCCCATGTGGCTCTGGCATGGAGCAGTGACGCCCCACTGCCTGTGCCACACCTGGGCCCTAATATTTTTTTTTTTTTTTAAAGATTTGAGCCATAGGGCCTAAGTACTCATATGAGAGAAAGAGACACAGAGAAGAAAAGTGAGAAATCACCCCCCGGAGGAAAGGGGTTGCCACACTGTAATCCCCTCCCCTCCATTCTTCTCCTGGGATTTGGGGCATGCACACACATGCACTCAGCGTGCGTTTTAAGCCATCAGATCAAGGATTCAAATCATGGTAGGCCATGTGAGAATCCAGAACCTTCGTCATCACACCGGCTGCTGGAATCTTTTAACTGTAAGAATTTTAAGTGTTGGTGATAATATAGGGACAGATCCCACTAGGACGAGTATCGACTGATAAGCATTTTTGGAGTGCACTGTGCAATGTGGTCCGGCAACTCCTCCTCCTGCAGAAATGCGTGCACGCTCACCAGGGCAATGCTGCCAGGAGGAACTCGGCAAGTTCTAGCAGCAGCTGAGAGTCACTGAGGCCAGAACCAGTGGTCCGGGGAGAAAGTTCAGGTAACATGTGACGTAGAGAGCCGAAGGCCCCTGGATTTTACGACAAGTGAGATGGGAAGACAATGGAAGATGCTGAGCAAAGGCGTGTACACCATATTTCTGTAGAAGATGGCTCTGGCTGCGGTGGGGCCTGGCCTACTGGGAGGCAGGAGTGGATGCAGGAGGATGGGAGGGTTCTGCAGTGGGCAGCCGCCATACCATGGTGGCTTATATCCCAGAGGGAGTGGCCCAGAGTGTGGACAGACATGCCCGTCTCTGTGGTATGTTCTGAGGGCCCAGAAGTGGGACTTCCAACGACATGGATGTGAAGGACGGAAGTAAGAAAATCATCTTAACTTTGGGCCTCGATGGGTAAGACAGTGGCAGTACGATTCTTGTGCAGTGGGCAGCCGCCATACCATGGTGGCTTATATCCCAGAGGGAGTGGCCCAGAGTGTGGACAGACATGCCCGTCTCTGTGGTATGTTCTGAGGGCCCAGAAGTGGGACTTCCAACGACATGGATGTGAAGGACGGAAGTAAGAAAATCATCTTAACTTTGGGCCTCGATGGGTAAGACAGTGGCAGTACGATTCTTGAGGCCCAGCGTGGACCTCTGTGTAGACTGTCATAAAAAAGATGCTCAAATGAGTGGACATAATTATTGAAGGTGGGGGACAGGGTTTGAGAGGGCAGCACCTTTTATTTGTTGGTTCTGAAATAAAACATAATCAAATTTCAGAGTATCATTTCTTCGTTGCTTTCTGGATCGGACACTATACTGCCAACTTGTAGTTTCTCTTTGAAGCTAAACAGCAGGTTCTGAAATCAGAGTGGACAGTTTCCGCTCCTGACTCAGGAAGCTTCTGCACCCAGAGAACGCTATTCCTCTTTTCTCCACCCTCAATACTGTGTGCCCCTCCAGCACTCTGCTTCCCATTACATGGAAGATTAAAATCCAAACTGAGTCTTGGCCATGGGCAACCTCAGAGTCAGGCCCACGGGATAAGACACAGAGTTTAGATTTCAATCTTCCGTATAACGAGAAGCCTCAGAGGCAGAACGACCAGCTGGACTGGGAAAGATTCCTCAGGTTAGTGTATGAAAAACCGCATGATCAATAGTGGATGCAGGGGCTGGCCCTGTGGCCTGATGGTTAAGGAACTGGGTCCCACATAGCTGACCACGGTTAGAACTGCTGCCCTGGAGGACCAGCCGGTGGTGTGGTGGTTAGGGGTGCTGGACTCCCACATGTCTGACTGCAGTTCAAGTCCCGGACCTGGTGGCTTGCTTTCTCACTTCCCCTCTCTCTCTCTGATCAAACTGGAAAACAATAATAAATAAAGCTAAATTTTAAAAATTCTTAGAAAAAACAATTCCTACCATGGTAATTTGAAAAACACACCGGGTATATATGCATGCATGCTCAAAATCCCAACAGGGTGGAGAAAGAGAGGGAAGGGGCTGCAGTCCATTAGAGTGCTTTCTTCCTCTCTCCCTCTGTGTCTCCATCTCCCTGGTGAGTCCATGCACCTTCTGATAATTAAAAAAAAAAAAAAAAAATAGACAGGGGTTGGCAAGTGGTGAGGTGGTAAAGCACTGGCCAACCATGGATTGGGTCCCGAACCTGGCAGCTTGCTTTCTCATTCTCCCTGTCTCTCTCTGATCAAAATCGAAGAATAACCATCATAAATTAAAAAAAAAACAAACCATTAAAAATCAATCTTTCCAAAAAAGGAATAGACAAAGGCTGCAGCGAGAAAATTTTCTACAACTAGATGATGATGGCTGTGAGTGTACTAAAGACCATTAAACGGCATACCTTAAACTGGTTAAAATGGTGAATGTTATGTTCTGTACATTTTTATCACAACAGCAACAAAAAAAGGACCTAGGGACGCCGTTTTGAGGCCAGTGTATCTCCAGGCGATGACGGTAACTTTTCTAGCAGCACGGTGAGGACAGTGGAGGGGATGCTGCTGATAAATATCGGTTGTCATATTTGGAATATGTCCGGAAGCGAGAACAACAGGACTGCACAGGAACTGGAAGTGTTACGTCTTCCCTTTCCCCCGAGCGACCGAATGGGCTACGGTACCCCCTACGGAGCCTTGCGTGGACGTGTGCATGTAACAGGCCGTCGTTACGTGTTTGAGAAATGAGGAGCTGAATGGGGCAGCCAACTGACAGTAGGTGAGAAGTACGTAAGAAAGCAGTCCCCAGGAATGTGCTACTCGCGAGGTCACGTTGCTACTGCACAAGCGGGGACACGGTCCTTCAGGACTGCGGAAAGGAAAGGGGTGCATGTAAAACCAAGCCTCGGCCCAGCCCAGAGTGTGGGGGTTCAGGCAGCTGGACCCCACATGGCCAGCGTGGTTGTCTGAGTCTTGGAACTGGAAGCTTGAGCAATAAACCAGGTGCATGCGCGCGCATGCCCAAAATCCCGAGAGGAGGGCGAGGTGGAGAAGAGACTAAGGCGTGACCATGTCCATGCGGGGAGGATGAAGGCTCACTTTCCCTTTACCTCTCTCTCTCTCTTTCTGGCGAGCATATGAGATCTCTGGGAAAACACACAACACTCAAGACTCTCCACTAAAGCGAGAAGGACGTGAGGTGGTGATGGGCACCCAGCCATCGTACCGTCAGCACCAGCAATGACGTGGACCTTGACTTCATGGCGTCTCACCTGCACCCCCTTTAGTCAGCTCCTTCCCCGGGTCTCAGACTCGAGTGACTCCTATAGAAATCATGGTGTCCTCCAAATACGCCAGCCCACCCTCTCCTACCCAGGGGTCTCCGGCCAGCTGGTGCCCCCCAGCAGGCCCCAATCGCCTTCTCTGACGTGAAGACCAGAACCTACTCATCCACAGCTCAAGAAGCTGAGATACCAGAAGTCCCACCTCGAGGCTGACCGGGTCACAGCCAGCAAGGAAACGGATGGCAGCGAGAGGCCAGCCGTGCACGGGCGGCCGATACCCACCTCGGTGAAGAAGCCTGCTATGCCCGCCTGGCAGGAGCCGTGTTCCTCTCCGTACTTCTTCTTATACTCTAGAGGCAGGGGGAGAGAAGCAGACCACAGCCATGTCAGTGTGCAGAGCCAGTCCAGCCAGGCAGCCACTGCCCCGAGAGCCGCGTGGGCTGGGCCCAGGGATGCCATCCAGACTGGGGCACCAGAGGAAAGCCTCGGGGATCCTTCCGACCTCAGGAATCCAGGCTCCAGTGCCATCAGGTAGCGCAGCTGCCCGGTGCCCCGGCGGGCTTCCGCTCGGGCTGAGGGAGAGGCCTGGCAGCCGCAGTCATTACGTGGGAGGCCGGTGACAAGTACTCCATTTGTTCCAGAAAGGACGGAGCCCCCAGTAGGCCCAAGGGGCTGAAACCTGAGCCCGACAGGGATCCATGTGGCTCTCCCAGCGTGGAGTCCCCTGGAAGGAGCCTAAACCTCCCAAAGACTCAGGACAGCTGGAGGCAATCTGTTTCCTGCCGCCCACCCCGGGCTCCAGGATGAGGGGCTCCCCATGTGTGACCCCGTGACTGGTGGTGCAGTCACCTACATGCCGCGCCCCTGTCCCTCTCCTGCGAGGGGGACAAAACTAAGAGATTCTCCTCCTCGCCGTTTCCTCAGCTCCCAACACTCCTACCCACCAAATGGGGGCATTCTATTGCTGCTGTTTTAATTTTAAATTGACGAGAGAAAAAGGGAACTTCCGATGAGTGTTTAACGTGTTCAGGCTCTGTCTAGACATCGTCTCATTGATTCCCTTCCCCCTGGGGAACCCATTTCCCAGTTGTGAACATTTAAGACTGAGGCTCAGAGAGGTTAAGTGAATTGTCCAAGGTCGCACAGCTAGGAAATGGCAAAGTCAGGATTCCACCCAGGCTTACACTTAGAAACTCACATTCTGTCCTGAAGCCTCAGGCTTTGCAAAGTGAGTGATTACACAATATCCAGGGAAGGGACCGGCTGTTTGAAATCATTTCATGAGTAAATACAAGGAGGCAGAGCGTGTTCAGCTCAGGTGACTCAAATGAATCACACGTGAAACTGACACTTTTGGACACTAGTTGCCTGGCTGCTTCCGGGCACCCTCAGGCTGGAGCTACCCCTGGGCTCCTGGCAGTCTCTAGGACCATGGAAAGCAGGATAATTATTTTGGGAACACAAAATAAATAATACAAAGTAACAATGAAGCTGTGATTGCAACACAGTGCCACTTCCTGCAGCTCTGAGTGTCTGCTGCAGGCCAAGGAAGAAAAGGACCCTGGGGAGAGGCGGGAGTAACTCAGTTCCTAACAATACTCACCTGCAGAGTCTAGTAACAGTTTCCAGTAAGTGGCCATTAACCAGCTGCTAAATTGTAACAGAAAGTCAAGTGAGTTACTCCTCTGCCATGTGAGTGAAATTAGTTCCTCCCGCCTCGTCCTGTTGTTTTAAGGACTCCAAGACTTGACAGAAGGCAACCGAGGGACCAACGCAACTCACTGTTCCCTGCAGGAAGCACCAGATCCGGCCCAGGCTCCAGGCTGCAAAGGGGAAGCCCTTAAGCTCCCCACCTCAGCAGGCACAGAGGCACCCTCCGTAGGCCAGGCCCCACCTCCCAGAGCTGGAACTGCCCCACCAGGGGACTCAGGCCTGGGACACCATGAAAGCAAGCAGCATCCTGCTGGCTTTGTCATGTTTGAAACCCCGGAGTCTCTACCTGGCTTCTCAGGATGCTCTGAGCAACATATCAAATAATTATTATTACCTAATCTTGTTCATATTACATTGGATCACAGGTATCTTTACAGTGTATTACATTTCTTTTTCCAGAAGAAATACCATGCATATCAGTCCACGACAAAGACATTACTATCCACATCATTATCAAATAGCTTTTCATCATGTTTTTTCCAGATTATTTTATTCTTTTTTTTTTTGAGAGGTTTTTGCTATAGGATACGTGTGCTCACCAGAAAGAGACAGAGACACAGAAAGCAAGAAAACACCCCCCAGGGGGGATGGCCACGCTGCAATCCCTTCTCCTCCATTCTCCTCTCAGGATCTTGGGCACGCACGCACATGTGCCCGGCATGAGTTTAAGCCACCGGGTCCGGGACTCGAACCGCAGTCGGCTACGTGGGAGTTCAGCAACAAAGCCATTACACTAACTGCTGGTCCCTAGTCTCATTATTTTTCTAAACATTCAATCATTACATATCAATTGGCTTGTATAACGAATTTACTCAGTATGAATTACTTCTCAGACCAACCCAGTTGAGAATACTATACACGTTATCAACAGGTAATAAGCCATTTCTGCGTCCCACTAAATGTCATGCCTCTCTATTTGTTCTCTTGCCATCCTTCTCTCAAAAATGTCTGGAAGTCTTGTCATTAACTTCTTGGAAGTGGAATAGGATCCAGTCGGGATCCACCCCCTTCCTACCCCATACCCACTACACAACTGGGAGCCAACTATGGGGCCTGGTGACTTTAATCTAGGAAGGCTCGAGTAGGGTCACTGGATTCGACAGCTTCACATTCCAAGCCTTCCACGGCCTTCCAGACCCCCCACCCCCAGCCCCTCTGTCCAGGTGACCTGGCAGGTAAAGGTAAATGCTCTCTTCTTGTCACAAAGAATGTGTGTTCAGCACTGAGGTGATTCAACACAAAGAGAAGCTTATTCATCTCCATGTCCCGAAGGCCAGCCCAGGGCCACGAGCCTCTGTGCTTAATGACGTGTGTCCTGCTACCAAGTCCCTGAACTCTACAGCCTGCTGCCCTAGCGACCTTCATCCTTCCTGTCCCCAACCTTCCAGCCTTGTGCTCTCTCTCATCCTCCCAGGCTCCCTGAATGCCGACCCACACTGCTTACAAAGGGGTTGTGGGTCCTCGGTACCAGGAATCCTGGGCATTAGACCTGGTGCCATCACAAGCCCAGAGGCCTAGGGACACTGGTGAGTGTGACGGGAGTGGGACGAGGACGACCCCCCCCCCAGGCTGGATCTGTCTGGGCTCTTCAAACCTGAGATTGGCTCCACCCACCTTGGGCAACGCCATCTCCTGCTGGACAGCAGGGGAAGCTGGACCGAATACGCAGAGGCAGTTCTTGGGTCGCTGCTCACCCCTGGCAGGACCTTTCTCCGTGCTTGAAGACCTGGGAGGACTGGCTCAGTCACAGATGGGGCAGCCTACCCCAGAAGTCCAGGCCTCCTCGGCTGCAGCAGCATGGAGTTGCTGTCCTGCCCTCTTCGTGCAAAGCCTTCTCCTAAAAGCCGAAGCCCTCTGAAGAACTGCGTGAGCAGCCTCCGCAGAAAGGCTTATCAACCATGCCTGTGGCTTACAGCTGCCCAGAACCTGTGTTCCATGCCCAGTCTGCTTTTCCCCGGGGGAAAGAAGCCCACGCATGGGCCAGGCTGCTGGACAGTGAGTAATCCAGACCAGGGGAGAAAGGGTCTTGAAGCACTCCACGACAAGCACAGGTTGACACAGCAGGGAAACTGACCCCTGGGTGCTGCTGTGGCCGTCAGGGCACGGGCCTGGCTCCAGGCACTTTGTGGGACAACGCAGACACCGGCCATAGGCACCCTTCACTGCTCTTGGTCTTTTGTTATTTCTACAAGGTAGGGACACCACCATCTGAACCTAATTCCTCTACTATGTATTTGTTTATTTGCCAAAGGGCAGAAGTGCTCATGAGACAAAAAGAGAAAGAGAAGGAGAGGGAGGAAGCACCTCCCTCCTCCCCAAGTGGGGCATGGGCATGCTGCAATCCCTTCTCCACTTCTCTTTAGGCACGCACGCACGCACATCTGCATGTTTTTCAGGCCACTGGGGCCACCTGGAATCCAGTTCCCTTAGCCTCTAGGCCATGGGCTAGCCCAAACTCATTCTTTCTTTAAAAACAAAACAAAACAGGGACCAGCAGTTAGTGTAATGGCTATGTCGCTAGATTCCCATGTAGTCAACCGTGGCTCACGTCCCGAACCCAGTGACTTAAAACTCACGCCGGATGCGTGCCTGCCCAAGATCCCGAGAGGAGAATGGAGGAGAAGGGTTTGTGGTGTGGCCATCCCCCCTCGGGGGTGATTTCTCACTTTCTGTCTGGTGAGCGCACGCGCCCTATAGCAAAAACCTCTTCAAAACAAAAACCTAAAAAGCAAAGAAAAAAGTTATAGAAAACAGGTTTTCTCCCTAATCCACCTTTCAAATATCTGTATGTAGGCCTTTTCCCCCATATTCATATAATAAAAATAATTTTTTAAAAACTTAAAAACCTGGGAACCAAGCAGGTGGCATGGTGGTTAAAGCGCTGGACACTTCCACATGGCTGACCATGGTTTGGGTGCTGGACCTGGGAGCTTGTTTTCTCACTTTCCCTCTCTCTCGGTGTTTCTCTCTCTGGTCAAAAATTAAAATGAATGAATAAATTAATTAATTAAAAAAAAAACCCAACTCATAAACCTGATCTTGCTTGCCTCAGCCTGGGACAGCCGGACAAGCTACACCACAAAGCTGTGAGAAGGGAGGGGGTGCAGAAAGGGATAAGGGGCTGCCCCAACAAGGCGGGGTCACACGCCCTCACTCCATTGAGAAGTCCAGGAAGTGCAGGGTGGAGGGCCCCGGGGTGGGGCAGGAGTGACCTCCATTCTCCTGTGTGCCCAGGAAAGACTTTTCCTGCACAAACATGAAGGCTGTGGGGCCCGGCAGCTGGCTGCTCCGTCTGCTCAGCCTCTGGATGCCCCAAGGACGAGGCTGGGTGTGACAGCAGTTCACAGATGCCACAACAAATCCAACGCTGGTAAATCTGGGGACACTGACTCTGGGCAGCGAAAGAGGGAGCTGAACAAGGGGACCAAAAAAGCGCTGGCAGGAACTGGGCACAGTTGGAGCGCTCCGTCTGCTGAGGGTGGGTTTGAGCTGCTTGACCTGCTCACACACTTTAAGCAAGTCGTTGGGACCAGCAGTTGGCATAATGGCTATGTTGCTGGACTCCCATGTAGTCAACCATGGTTCAAGTCCCAGACCCGGTGACTTAAACTCACACCGGGCACGTGTGTGTGCGTGC